GAAACTAATCATTCATACACACTCTAACACCGATGCACAGCATCAGGAGCAATTTGCAGTTCAGTGTCTTGCTCAAGGACAAGGGATCGAACCGCTAACATTCCAATTAGTGGACGACCCGCTCTACCTCTGAGCCACAGCCATTGATGTATTAGTGCAAATGTATTAGTAATTAGTTACACTAGTTACTGTGGGAAGTAATATTATACTGTAATACTATTACTAGTAATGCCTTACTGCCTTGTTGGATATAAGTGGTGGTAGAGGTACTCAACTCCTTTACTAAGTAAAACTTTTGTAGGTTTATACAACATGATTTTTCCCCAAACTGCATGTGATTGTGGGCATGTTTGCAAAGGGGAAATGTATGGGTATCCATAAAACCCTTTTAAATATCTTGAGGTTTGGGGTCAAGGAACCCCTTTGAAAATGGTCATGCCACCATTTTGACTAACTTTGGAGTGTTATTTAGCCCCCAATATGCTAGCATGACATGGTTGGACCATACATTTCCCTTTTTAAATGTTACACACTGGACCTTAATGATGATCCAAAGAAATCAACATACGTAAGATGAGGCAACAGCTGCAAAGTTCCTGCACCCAAGTAAAACTCATTGGAATAGGGTTAGCAGGTTTTATTTAGAAAAGAAAAGAAACACAAACTAGTTAATTTTAATATATGTGAACTTAACTTTGAGCTCACTCTTGTGAAGTGTGAACTAGGACAACACTGGTTTAAACTGTGAATGTGGGAACAGGTTGCAAGAAGAGCACTTGGGGAGCATGAAGATTTCAATAAATAGACCTCCTGTGTCAAAACTTCTATATTATGATGCCATGGTGAAATTTTTCCCAAAGCCAAGGAAGATAAAGGTCAGCAATGTTGGTTAGCAGCTTAGTGAGAGCCGTTGTGCAGGATCAACAATGTTGTGTTTACTGCAGCCACAGAGTTGGCAGTCTGGGCTTGGAGCAGGACGGTCCTCCCATGGGGACGCTGTAGTCATTTCCTTAAGACAAGGAAGTTACAATTAAAACAAATTCCTCCCTCTGTGGAATTCTCAGGTCTCACAGGTTTTTGAATCAAGGAAACACACACAAACACAATTTCAACATCAGCTTTGACACATGATTTGTTTTCTAATAAGCTTAAAGGTCCATTTATTAGCTTATCAGAATCACAGTATTCACACAGCAAATGGAACTTTCTCCAGCATAATCACATGACTTGAGTGGTCATCCAATAACACGTTGTGATATATGGGGAAAGATGCTCTCTGGTGTCAGATGTATGTTGTCCTCCTTGACCTTTGACACCTTGTTGGTGAGGTCTGACAGAGTAGTTCAAACTCTGTGCTTGGCATAGCTTGACACATTGGACAAAGTTACTGTGCGAAAGCTTGATTTGGGAACAGACTTGTCTTTCTCCTTTTTGGACGACCAGTTTGGAGAAGACCAGCCAACATTACCACCCAAACTGCTTGGAAAAAGTAATGGGAGTCCAAGGATGCCCCAAACACTTGGTTGGACCTTGGCCGTGACTTGCCTTATAGGTCCAGTGTGTAGTGGTGTACATGCAGAGTGCAACTTTGTCACCTCACCCTCCCCTTCCAAGCATGAAGGAGAAACTACGGTGGCTTTCAACGCACCTATCTAGAGTTTGTCCCTTCATTTTAAACAACACAAACATACGGATTCCTACATTCAGGTGATTATATTATATTTCATTTCTGCCTATAGATCCTACTCATTATTCCACACTGGACCTTTAAAGGTTATGTAACATTCAGAAAAACAACTAACTGTGACACCAGTCCCTCGCACTCCATACACAATCCATAGCATCTGTGCAACATACATTAGACTGAGTGCTGGAAAATAAATTCAGTCATATTTAGAATAACATTACTATCTGCAATGGTCCTATATTCGGACCATTGACTCCATGCTACTTACTAGCTTGCTGTTTACAAATCACCCCATCAGCCAACATCATGAAGCAAACAAACACCAGAACCATGGCCAAAACACAGCCAGCTGGACAACCCCAGCTTAGCTTAGCTACAGTTAGCTAGTTGGATGGCCTTGCATTACTCATAGCTACGTCCATAGCACCAACCTACCCAGAAGACAAGTGTTCAACCCTTAACAGATTTAGGGCCAACTACAAACCCTGCTTGGCCGGTCCTCACAGGTGGGGCAATATTCCAAGCCCACTGTGTGCTTCTGGAGAGGAGGAAACAATGGAACACATCACTGAAGCTTGCCCTTTCCAAAGACTAAATGGAGGACTCGTCAGCCTCCATACAGCAGATAGGGAGGCAACTGCTTGCCTTGAGGACTTTGCATGGACTGCCTTAAACCCTGTAACACCCATGGCTGCTGACTAAGTGAAAACAAATTGCCTATTTTTATCATTTAGACCATTGCCACGAACGCCAACATCAGTGGAATTAAAGACCTCATATATCTGTGTGTAGTGCCACCTCCTGATTGATCACAAGCAGTCCATGGAATTTCTACACACTGCCAGTATCCTACTTGTAGAACAGTGGTAGGTAAAAGGTTAACTGACTTGTGTCTCATGAGTTCCACACAAACTTCCTGTCATTTAAACCGCAGAACATAACAGCTTTCCTCTAGCCTTTAAAGTGAATATAGGACTACTGTTTCACTCTTGATATCAATGTATATATTAGAAAAAACATTGTGGCCTAGTTTAGCATTATTTTGCTCTGTGGGAAGTGACACTGTGTGTCACTCTGCAGAGACAATAACAGTGTTTACAATTGTATCCTGTGTGTGTGTGTGGGTGTGTCTGTCTGTGTGTGTGTGTGTTGGCCTTGAAAGCGACAATGGGAGATTACGGAGACAGTACAGGAAAGACTAGCTGGATAACTCAGGAAACTTGCTTCCTGCTATTTTTGCTTGCAGTAACCAAGGGGGCAGTTAAAGGACTGGAGGCGGAGCGACGCGGATCTCCATTTTGTATGATGTCATCTGAGAACTAAACAAGTAATTAGCCAATTGTATTTTCAGTCCCATCGGGGACAGCTAAAGTAAATATATATTCTTTAGAAAAAAGATATAAAGAACTATAAAAACATGAGACAAAATGTAAACATAAAAACTTCAAGGTGACTACCATAATATATGGGGTGAAAATGAGAAACCAAACCACCGTATAATTAATAGAGACTATAATTAAAATAGTTTCTATTTTTGGGTGAATCAGACAGCATAATTTTGGGTGATTGGGACAGTGCTAAAAGAGTTTGTTAATGTTAAAAATGATCAACCTTGCGATATAGAACCATTGCTTAAGCTCTGTATGCTGAGGATTAGTGGTTCCAAACCTCTTCATGTGGACAGACCCCTGTATGCGAATGTGTATGAATGAGTTAGTTTCTGTTTGATGGACTTTGCCATCACTGAGTGAATGTGTGTGAAAGGGTGAATGTGGCACGTAGTGTAAAAGCGCTTTGAGTGGTCGGAAGACTAGACAGGCG